TTGCAGTACCTAGTACAATGGAAGGGATACCCATTGTCTGAAGCCACCTGGGTGAAATCCAGTGAGGTGAAAGCTGATAGGCTCGTCAAAAGGTTTCATACGAAATACCCCAACAAACCGAGAACTAGTCATTAACATATGCTTTGTTTACATTACAGGATCCGTCCTTTTTGTAAGGGGGGCCGGATGTCAACGCTGCTAATATTGAATATTCTTGCTTTGACAATATATGCAGAACTGTCAGGTATTTTAAGAGTTAAATCAGGTGACAGCAAAAGGGGAGGAGAATATAAGGAATGCCCAAGAAAAGGAACGGAAGTGAATCTTTGCCCTCCAAGTTAATTGGAAGATGTGAATCATGACCCCAAAATAGGGGAGGGGAAATGTCTGGAATGTTATGTGCAAAGGAAGGGAAATTCAGATCTTAGCATTCCACCATGCCGTGCTGACACTCTGTAATACTAATAAAGGTGTTTCGTTAATCAGACACATGACAGCCAGCATATGTGGGGGCTATTGGGTGAATGTTGGCAGTGCTTAAAAAGACAATTGTTCTGACCAGCTAATTGCTTTGCCTCCATTCGTGGCCCTGCGTCATCACAGGAACCCTCAGGTGGCATCTGCTGCTTTTGCGGGCAAAACATGGATTAAGTGTTATTGGTTTCAGACAAACCCAGTTCCAAGACAAAGGGCTTAAGGGTTGTGTAGCCCTTAATGTTTACACCGCCTTTTGTGGGATTTGTTGGGAGGTGGTCACTGCTGGTCTTGTGATTGGTCACGTGGTCGTAGGCTGAGTGCTGAGTGCTTACTGAGGGTGGCAACCATTGTTTTGCTACACAACTGACATGTGTGGGTGTGTATACAGTGATTGACTATGTGCAAAAGGTAAATAATTTCTTTATTTTAAAAAATCATTGGTGAATTTTTTAAAAAAAAATTAGTGTCAAAGTGTGACCCCAAATTTAAAAATAAAAAAATTACTAATTACTTCTCAACCACCGGTCCTGCTAATAAAAAGGCCAGAATATTAACAGATACAATGACAGAACACACGAAAATAATGACGCCTGTTGATATTTCTGAATCTGATCTTGAGAAGCAATGGCAAACTACATATGGCTGGGTGGACTGCTGGACCTATGATCAAAAAAATGATTTTTGCTTGAAAAATGAATGGCTCTGTGTTCACAAAATGAAAGTTGGCTGTACGCCTTGTAGAAAAGTTTGAACTCTTGGAATTGAAATAAAATGGGAATGAAACTTTCCAAGGAATGGACCAACAATAAGATAACCTATTCTGACAAAGATAAGAAGCAACAGTTGAGCTCACTTCAAAAAAAAAAAAATCTGATCACAGAGAATCTGCTGCACATAAAGCAGCATTAAAAATAGTTGCTGAAAGCAAAAAAATGACTCTTGAGAATGTTTTTTTAACCTCATTATCTCATGAAAAAATAATAACTGCAAAGGAAAATCAATCATTCCATCATTTGAAACTGATCTTCAAGAACTGAACGGAGTTGAAATGGGTCGTATTCTTCATTCTACAAATGCGTGTATTAACACTATTAATCATATAAGTGAAGAAATGAGGAAAACTGTGATTAAAGAAATTGTTCAATCCAGTAATAAAATTTCATTGATAATTGATGAATCAACCACAATAAGCAAAAAAACTATCCTAATAGTATATGTTCAATACTGTATCAAAGGTGTTGGAATGAATTCACCAATAAATTTGTTTTTGGATTTGGCAGAACTTGAAAAAGTAACAGCAGAAGGAGTATTTGATTCCTTACTCCAATGTCTTCACTCTTATGGGATGACAGAAGATTATTTAAAAAAATATTTGGTTTCTCTGGCATGCGATGGCGCTGCTGTGATATTAGGGTGTAAAAGTGGAGCGAAAAAATTGCTGTCAGAATGTTTTCCTTCTCTTATAGTTTGGCATTGTGCTAATCACAGACTAGAATTATCAGTAGGTGATGCTGTCAAGGAAACTTCAGGAATAAATAGATTCAAATCATTTATTGATAAACTTTACGTCATATACCATGCTTCGGGAAAGAATAGTAGAGAGTTGCATTTATGTGCAGAATTACTGGGGGCTCTATCCTTGGAAAATTTACGGGACTGGAGGCTAAAACGTATAAAGAAAGGTTGCTGGAATTAGGTATGTCTAGTTTAATGAAAAGAAGAACTAGGGGTGTCATGATAGCAGTGTGACAATATCTCAGGGGTTGACACAAAGAGGGAGTCAAGCTATTCTCCAAAGCACCTGAAGGCAAGACAAGAAGCAACAGATGGAAACTAATCAAAGAGAGAAGCAACCTAGAACTAAGGAGAAATTTCCTGTCACTTAGAACAATCAGTGGTACGACTTGTCTCCAGAAGTTGTGAATGCTCCAACACTGGAAGTTTTAAAGAAGAGATTGGACAACCATTTGTCTGAAATAGCATAGTTTCCTGCCTGAGCAAGGTCCCTTCCAACTCTGTTATTCTGTTAAATTTTGGATGAGGCATAAATCCATGTATTCAGTTACAGTATACTCCAAGGATGGTTTCCAGTGAGAACTGAATTCTACATCAGATTTACTTGTAAGGTAGAAAATTATTCTGTACATCAAAACAAACTTCCCCAGCTTGCTTAGCCATTTTTCCAAGGTGAAAATCAAATAAACTTTCCAATAAGAATATATAATATCCTTGCATCAAAAACTGACATTAAATTGATTTTCAAGATGTATGATGGGCCTGACATTAACATAACATTTCTAGTGTCTAGACAAGAAGCAGAACCAGAAATGCTAGTTCTACCTACGTTAGAGGTTATGTTAACAGAATCATCCAAGCCTGAAACTATCCCTCCCATCCCTCACTTTTACCCTCTCAAAAACTAGGGAGAGAAAAATAGCAAATACAAATATAAAATAGCATAATAATAGATATCCTAAAAAAACTAAAAATCCCATGGTTGAAGGAAATGTCAGGCCCAAGATCAGGAATGGCACAGTGAAATTCAATTAAGTTCAATCCTTTATTTGCTTAAAATTAATTGACAGAATCTTGCCAAATTCAAGCCATAACCTTCTAACTTACTAGATATACTCTGAGAGAATCTTGTGTGAATTCAAGCTACACTGAACTTCTTTCCTGCTCCCCCTTCCAGCTCAGGTCTGCGCAATCTCTTGATCCAGGTCTCTTTCTGGGAGAACTCTGTGTTGCCCAAACTCTCCCCCACTGCTCCTTCAGGTGCACTTTCCATCACACTCGGACCTGGTCTTCTTACGGGCTTTTTGGAAAATTGCCACAATACAAAAAAGATGCTGAGAGTCTAGAAAGAGTGCAGAGAAGAGCAACTAAGATGATAAGAGGTCTGGAGGTTAAATTGTACAACCATTGGTTAAGGGAACTAGCTATGTCTAGCCTAACAAAGAGAAAGATTAGTAGTGACATGACAGCTATCTTCCAGTAATTGAGGGGCAGCCATATAGATGAGGGGGTTGATTTATTCTCAAAAGCACCTAAGAGCTGGACAAGAAGCAATGCGTGGAAGCTCTTTAAAGTGAGATCCTATTGCAATTTACTCTGCCAAGCACAGAAATCTCTCCAGGTCTGCTCATTCACCACTGCAGCCCTTTTTCATTCTCAGCTGTGGGTATTTTTCTTGTTAGCTCATCCTCTGATTGCACTAAATGCATCAGCAGAATTTTGTAGTTAGATTTCTACCAATATTGAAAAATAGATAAAACTCTGTGTTGCATTCACTCAGCCACTAAGTTTGCTTTGTTTTTTCTTTCTGAAGCCATGCCTCATAACGGTGCTGACAGGGGCATGAGCTCACAAAGGAGAACTAAATAAAACTTTTTTGGTGGGCTGAGTGAAAACTATTCACTCAAGAGTTTTATCTCGTGTGGGCGCTTAGTTAGGTTCATCTGCTTTTATTTGGTTGCTTATATTTTCTTGTGCTTTTATTTATCTGTATTTACGTAGCTTAGGTTTGTTTTATTTTACAGTATTTATTTGTTTATTCATTTTACTTAATATACCTATTTACACATACTGTTTATTTCTTTCTTTATCATATTTCATATATTTGTTGAATTAGTTTAGTTAGTATTAGTTTAGTTTAGCTTAGTTTCGCACATTTCATTTATAATGAGACATTCCTGTATTACGCAGGGAAACTCCTGTTTGAAGTAAGAGATCTTTGATTTTATTTATTTACTTGTCAATTTGCATGTCTGACTGTAGGATTTAGAATTCAAAGAGGTAATATGATAAATAACATGATACAAGTAATAATAATGATGAAGTAAAACAGGAATCAAAAGAATCTAGGAACAAGCAAAAAACATTTTAGAATAATTTTTAGAATAACTTTTGAACCAAAACATTTTAAAAATATTTGCACATCTTCTTTCAGGCACTTTCTTTGTGAACTGTGTTAATATCTTCGGTTCAAATGCATCCACAGGACAGCCTTCCAGAAAGGCTGGGAAACATGGCTCTGTGGCTTTGCTTGGGGTGCAGAGAAAAGCACGGTTGTGGGGCTGGCTAGAGCCCTCAAATTCCTAATTCCTAATTAAGTCAGGAAGCTCAGAGTCACCTTACTCTAAACTAGAGAAGGCAGGATCCTAGCTTCTGACCATGTTGTCATCAACACTATCTTGGAGGCAGTGTCAATTGTTCATACAGCAAGGTTTAAATTGGAACAAAAGGGCCATTATAACATCACTTTAACAGCAGAGCAGCTAAAGGCAACTTCAGCTGTCCCTGCAGCTGGCTAGAGGCAAAAATTCAGGTGATGTCATGAGGTTTTTTGCTTAACCATGGTTAACAGTGGTTAGTGAGAAGGATTGAGGGAAGACAGGACAGCTTTCTGGGTCTTGTAGTTTTTTCTTTAATAGAAATAGAGTCTTGAGACAGTACCACACTATGATTTGCTTAGTAAATTTACATCCTCTGTTCAAAGGGTTCAAAATGTCCTCTTTTGGCAGGTGTGTCTCTGGAAATACCAAGAGCAATGAAGAAAGCAGAGGGAGCACCTCCATGAAATAACAGCAAGGCATCAGGAGGAGCTGGTGGAAAAGAATGCCAGAATAACTGCTGTGAGTCAGTCATTTCCCTTACAAGCTTGTCTTAAGCTTCTCTTTTGATCTGCTTATTTCTGTTCTATGACTGATGTATGCTTCTGGTCATTTTTATGTGTTAGTTGGAAAAAGAAAATAAAGTGCTTGCCAGCAATTTAGCATGTATTGTGGAAGAAAACAACGAGATTAAAAAGAAACTCCAAAAAGCTGAAGAGAGTGAATATTATTTTAATTATTTTAATTAATTTTCATTTTCATTTTTAAAATGAGAGTGATTGACTTTATGTAAAGTTCACGAGTACAAGTTATTTTATTATTTTTCCCCCAAGGCTTGCCCAGCTGACCCCTGACACGGCAACATTAATAGAGAGACTGAGGTAACGGGAGATGGAGGCAATGGAGGAGGAAGAAGAGATGAGCTCCCAGGTACATCTATTCACAAACATTCGACCAACATAGACAAAGATGAGATGCCATGTTTATTCGACAAAAGTGAAATAATCATAATGACAGGCTGTTGTTTCATAGGAGATTTACATAGGAGTCAAGCAAAAAAAAAAAATAATAAAAAATTTCTCTCTGATTTTTTCCAGTTTTCTTTTTTCTGAGAATTCAGTTAAGAATCCAAGAAGGCAACAAAATGATCAAAATACCTCCCTACCAATAATCAACATTCACATGAACAAGATTAATATCAAACCAAATATTGTGTATTGCGTTCGTTGAGGCATAGACCAGACCGATATAATACAACTGCTCTTTATTGCTGAAAACACAGAAGTGCGCTGTCACTCTGATGGCTATTTATACATTGCCACCACTAGGCAGCGACCAATCAGTTTAAAGGGTATTTTCCAGCTTATTGTCAGGCTGCAGTTTCCCTCCAAAACAGTTGGAGACTCTTTCAAATATATAACAACAACTGTTCATAACAACCACAACTTTTCAAGCCAATACATAACATCAACAATCAAGGAGAAAACAATGTTCCAGTCAAGGAACTGCCAAACAAGCTAACAGTAAACAGCCCAACCAAAGAAAGTCACACAAACCGACTACAAAGAACGGCACGACAAAGTAGCCACATGGGTGCATTGCAAGATCCACAAGAAATACCATTTGCCTGCAAGCAAGAACTGGTGGGACCATAAAATATAGAAAATGAAGAAGCTAAGGTGTTCTGGGAGTTTAGAATCTAAAAAGCAGGTACCTGCCATATAACAAGCCAACTGTCAATAAGAAAGACAAAAAAAGTCTAGACAGTGGACTGGGAAGTCCTGGAAACAGCAGACTAGAAAAGAAGGAGAAACTAAAAATACATATACAGAAGAAGGGGCAAGACCAAGGGAACAGAGATACATAAGATTGACTAGAAGATTACAACCTAGATATAATTGAAAGAGACGGAAAAAGAAAATGGGATCCTTTCAATGAATATAAATGGATTGAATTCCCCCTCAAAAAGGAAACTTTTTTACACTACTACAAACATTAAAAATAGATACAATTACCTTCAAGAAACACATATCAAGAGACAACAGTATAAATTGTTAGAGCAACTAAAAATTGGCAAACTCTGCATTGAACTGATGAGAGCCAGATCCAGCTCCTGCCATTAACATTCTGTCCATTCAGGAATTACCTGAATCTCCCCTCAATGCTAGGGATGTAGCTGCAGAAACTGCCACTGATCACACGCTTACACGCGTGCTGACATGGATGCTGTCAGGATGGCCTGACAAATGCCCATATACTGAGTTCCAAAGTTTCTGGCACAAGAAGCATGAGTTTTCCACTTTCAAGGGTTGCCTGTTATGGGGTAGCAGGGTAGTGATTCCAGCCTCATTGAGATCTAGAATCTTGATCTCTCTGCATGAAGTACATCCTGGTATTGCCAGCATGAAAGCACTTGCGCACAGCCATCTTTGGTGGCCTGGGCTTGATAAAGCTATTGAGGCCTAGGTGCACGGGTGCCAAGTGTGCCAACAGTCTTGGCCTGAAATGCCTCAGGCACCAGTACATAGGTGGGAGGAAATTCAAACCCCTGGTCTAGGCTGCATATAGATTACGCTGGGCCCTTTCAGGGGCAATTCTTCCTGGTTGTTGTTGATAGCCATTCCAAGTGGCTAGAGGTTGTTCCTGTTTCCTCCACTACTACTGCCAGGACCATCCAGGTGTTGAGAGGAATTTTTGCATCACATGGTCTTCCAGATGTTCTGGTTTCAGATAATGGCCCTCAATTTACCTATTCTGCGTTCCAGGCTTTTCTTCAGGCCAATCTGATCCGGCACGAACCATTGGCTCCCTTCCACTCATCCTCCAACGGACTGGCAGAGAGAATGGTGCGCACCACCAAAGATGCCCTCAAGAAACTGACTTAAGGTAACTGGCATCACAGGTTAGCAGATTTCCTTCTTGCATACCGCACCATACCATGTACTGCTACGGAGAAGAGCCCTGCTGAACTCTGCTGGGGTCGCCGCCTCATCACTAAACTGGACAGGTTGCACCCTGACTGGGTGGCTTCACAGGTGTCACAACCGCGGGCACCTAGGAGACTCCAAGTGGTTGATCCGGTCTCGGCATGGAACTATGGGCCTGGTCATCTCTGGGTCACAGCTGTGGTTTGCAAGGTCTCTGGGACGTTGTCATACAAAGTTGCCTTGGGAGATGGCTGTGTTCTTTGCAGACACATAGACCAAGCTGCATTGGAGACTGGACTCTCACCCTTCCACTCCTGGCTCTGCTCTGGGGGGGGGGGGGGAGGAAGACGATAACATGCATTCTGAGGTTCAGTTTCACAGGCCTAACAGGCCATCACTAGCCGCTACTGAGGCTATTTGGGATTCATCCCAAGGTTCCGCAAGTGCTCCTAACAGGAATTCACCAGATAGGGGATCATCCCACACATCCATAATTACTCCAGACAGAGAGTCACACTGGGGGTATCCACAATATTCACACATGTCAGATAGTGCTCCAGACAGGGAGACTGACCGGGGGTATCCACACAAATCACAAGCAGCAAGAGAAAAAGAATTCCAGCAGGGGCGCTTGCCCAATTCCGCAATTGCTCCCAGAAGGAGGTCAACAGCAAAGGGGGTTGCCATGGAGGTGCCTCCTGACTCTGGCACCTTGGGCACATGTTTGGGGGCCAGAGAGTACTGGGGCACTTCCGTTACCTAGCACTCTCCATCTGCTGGCCTTGGGTTCGAGGGACAGTGTTCCCAAGAAAGATCCATTGTGGACCCGGGGACTTCCACCCCTCCAAGGTATGCTGGCTTGGACTTAGAGGGCCCAGCCAGACAGCAGATGGGCGGGTAAACCGGATATTTGGGGCAGCAAAGTCCTGGCCTGCCTAGCCTGGTAGGTGAGCAAGTAGGCCAGGCACCCTTACCGGGGTCACCTGGGAATTTAAGGCAGCAACACCCTGGCCTGCCTCGCCTGGTGGGCGAGCAGAGGGGCCAGGCAATCTCTCCTGGCCCTAGGAGGTCACAGCGGGCCAAGTGCCCACCCAAACATCTTAGAGAATTTGTGAAGTTGCTGTCAAGTTCCAAGGGTTCTGTGCATGAAGACCCTGAATAACGGGTAGACTATTTTGTATTATTTTTTTGATTTCGGATAAATTTATTGCTTAACAAAGTTGAAGGGGTTTTGCCTGAGGGAACCTCGAGTATTCCACATTCCTTGCATTTGATTGATGAAACTATATAACATTCTCCCAATGTATGACATACATGTGTGTGTACAGATATGTTCCATCTAGGGGGGAGGGGTGTTGTGTCCTGAGCCTGCAAAAGTAGGCTCGGGACATTGCATTGGTCCCGGGCATTCCAAAAGCTGCCCGGGACCAGACTGAGCGGCGCCGGCCTTGTGCGCATGCGCAAGGCATGAAAATACTCTGTTACTTTGTTTGCCATTGTCCAGGTCTCTGGACACATAAAGAGGCCTGCATGCCTGCTGCGTTTGTTTGGGTGTTACTTTAAGAGAATAAAGAACTGTTGAACTTCGCCATGTTTATTCATCATTTGCAAGCAAACGGGGTACTTAAAAAATATCAATCTTTTAATTATCTTGCTACCCTCAACTGTGGAGAAAATGAATTTCAACTCCTACTTCTTTTATACATGAATGCAAGGATGAAATACCATTTTTTTGTTTAAATTTGGGGGCAGACGTTAATATATATCTCATATATCATCGTTTTTTAATTCTGAAGAGACAACAAGAGCCTGCAAGATTCAAGAATGGGAAAAATTTTCAATAAATCTCTATTGGTCACTTGCTGTAAGACTATTGATCTATGATCGAAAGGCAGTTCACAACAGAGATGGATCTGTCAGTCACCTGCAACAGATGTGCCACATTTATTTTTTCCCCCACAAAGACAAAGACGATGTTATCTATATAAACTGCCAGCTTTTGGAACTTTAGAAAAAACAGTTGATCTTTTGAAGGCCAAAGTGTTATACTTACATAATTTGTAAAAATGAAGACTTCTGGAATAGTAGTGTGTCATTTACTTGCTCTATGCAGGAAAACAATGTGAAAGTTTCAACATCACAAAAATGAGAATGAAGACAACTGGCAACATATCATCATCAGAAGGAAAACATAAAGCAGATAGTCCCCAGGGCTTTTTTGTCATAGAACATCCAGAATGGAGTTCTGGCACCTTTTTTGGATGGAACCTTGTAGGGTAGACAAGGCGGGTTGTATGACATATGTGAGTTCCGGCACCTTTTTTTTTTAAACAAAAAAAGTACTGATAGTTCCCATTAATATTGGCAACTGATTCCAATCTCCAGCCTCTGAGGAAACTTCTACAAACATGGCTGAGCTATAAAAGATCCTCACGCTGAAGTTTCTGATTCATATGGAAGTGATGCACCATCACTTACCAAGAACAATATGAATCTTCTAAGATTCTGTGGTTTAAGATGTGACAGACTAATAAAGCATATTTGATCATTGATCTTTTTACTCATCCATGTGAGTGTGAATGACACAAAAACACAATCTCCAGGGTAATCTCTGGAGATGGTTAAAGGATGTCAGGGTTCAAATCAGTATTTCCAAGACAAAAGTCCAGAAAGAGACTGAATTTTTGGTCGCAACATGGGTTTTTCATCAGTGCTACAAATCTTAGAGACCAGATGCTGCTTTACAGAGATTACATTCCCACCAAAGAGCTGATGTACATCCTTAGATGACTGACTGACCTGGCTAAACTATAAGAGTAGGAAGTAGTGCATGTTATAGGTCAAGTCAACTGCAAAGATAGTAACACAAGTATAGAAAGCATTTGGGTTAAGATAAAAGAGGAAGCTAACAAAAAAGATACCTTGTTAGGAATGGATACATGGAATGTTTTGAATATAATCATTCTTGATTTTATCAAAGCTTTTTAGAAGGTTTCACAATACACTATCATTTACATGGTATTAAATCTAGTTTGGATGACGGACCCACAATCAGTGCTGGCTGATGGCACTGAGATTAATGGCTCTAACTGAGTTGTAGAGCAGTAACTAATGAGATTCCAAAAGGATCTGTCTTGGGGCTAGTATTG